TTTGTGCTTTTTCGGCTTGGCAGGGCTGAAATGGAGCTCAGGCCTGCACAGAGAACCTCAGAAATGTGGGAATAAAACAAAAGCTGGGTGTTGTTCCTGCATTTTTCTGAGGAGAATTTGGGATTTGTGGTGGTTTGGTGTTATTCCTGTGCCCGGATGGAAGAAAATCCCTTTGGAGCATTAATGCCCACAATAATCAAACCCTTTTTGGTTCTGGATGGGGGAAAAGCTGAATTTTGTGCTTTTTGGCCTTTTTGGTGTGTGAGGCAGCAGTTGTGAGGAGTTTTTGTGGGATTTTTTCCGGTCCAGGCCTGTGTGATCTCAGGGATGGAGAATCCAGGGCCGTGGCTTGGCCTTGACCCAGCCTCAAATCAAAGCCAGGCTCCAAAATCTTTCCTTCTTCCTTTTCTTCCCGGGTCATTTTCCCCTCTCTCCAGGCTCTGCATTCCCAACTGGGGAAAACAAAAAAGGATATTCCATGGATCACAACTTGTCTCCTCTCAGAGCCAAAAACTCCTCTCCTGCCAGGTACAGCAGGAGAAAAAACAAAAATTTTTGTACAATTTTTGTACAAAAAATTGTACAAAAAAAATCAATTCCATGGAATGTGGGAATCTTGTGGATTAATAATATGGAATTTTTAATGAATCCCTGCTGGATTGCCACAGAAGGGGCTCTGTGGGAATATTTTGGCAGCTGCTGAAGGCAGATTTGGGGTTTAAGGCCTTCCCTCCTTCCCTTTGAACGAGGTGATGCCTTTTCCTTAAATTTAATTTTCCTTAAAAATTAATTTTCCTTAAAATTAAGAGCCAGATGTGGTTAAGGGATAAAGGGTTTTTATCTCAATATTTAATAAGGATTTTTATGGTGTAATACTTTTTTAGGGTGGGGTATGTTGAAATGTATATTCATGATTAGATGGCGTCCACAATTTTAGAGATTTTGCTAATTAGCATATTTAACACGGGTCAGTGAGAGGCTTGGATGAACAGAGGGATGGGAAAGGAGAAATGGGGAAATGTGAAAATGGGAAAGGGGAAATGGGAAAATGGACAATGGGAAATGGAAAAGGGGTGATGTACAATAGGAAATGGGAGATGGGAAACGGGATAATGAGCAATGTGAAATGGAAATGGGATAATGGACAATGGAAATGGGATAATGGACAATGGGAGATGGGAAATGAGGAAATGGGATAATGGACAGTGGGAAATGGAAATGGGATAATGGACAATGGGAAATGGATAATGGACAATGGGAGATGGGAAATGAGGAAATGGGATAATGGACAGTAGAAAATGGGATAGTGGATAGTAGGAAATGGGATAATGGACAGTGGGAGATGGAATAATGGACAGTGGGATAATGGACAGTGGGAAATGGGATCATTGGAAGGCCCAGCCCTGGCAGAGGATCAGGGAGTCTCAGGGAGCAGCAGAGCCCTGGGGCTGCAGCCAAGGGAACACAGCCCCAGTGTGGGGCTCACAGCGCAGCTGCTGTGGCAGTGCCACAAGGGAGGGCATTGTCCCCGTGCCCAGGCAGGGCACAGGGAGCAGCAGAGACCAGAGCAGGATGAGCCCCAGCACAGAGAGCATCCCCTGTCCCCGAGGTTCTGGGAACAAGAACAGAGTGTGAGCGTTTGTGCAGGATCCAGGGGACATCCGGCACTGCCACGGCCCCAGAGGGACACCTGCCACTGCTCTGCCTCACTCAATGTCACCATCTCACCTTTCCTCACCAGTTTTCTCTGAGTTTTGGCTCTCCAGGAGCTGAGGAAGGAATGAGGAGGAGATGAGGAAAGGATGAGGAGGAGATGGTGGGGGATGAAGAGGGGATGAGGAAGGGCTGAGGAGGGGATAGGGAGGGGATGAAGAGGGAGCAGAGAGCCCGAGCAGAGGAAAAAATAAGAGAAAAGAAGGAAGAGAAGAGAAAAGGGGGAAAAGAACAGGAAACCGAGAGGCAGCAGGAAAAGGGGGAAAAGAAGAGAAAAGGGGAAAAGAAGAGAAAAGGGGGAAAGAAGAGAAAACCGAGAGCAGCAGGAAAAGAGGAAAAATGAGAGAAAATAGGAAAAAGAAGAGAAAAGGGGAAATAAGAGAAAGGCAGAGCTGCTGCTGGAGCTGCACACGCGGCGTTTCCAGCAGCACACACTCAAATCTAGGTCAGGCTTAGTCTGGAGCTGCCTTGTCAGCACAGACCAAAGAAATAAATCCCTGGTGGCTCCCAGAGCGCTGCCATCCATCCGGGGTGGCACCGAGGGCATGGCAGGGACAGCAGGGATGGGCTGAGTTGGTGGCTTCTGCGTGGGGACACAGCCCTGGGCCACTGGTGGCGTTCCCAGGGGTTGGCAGAGATCTGAACCCTAAAAAACAGGATAAATGTTGGGTTTGGGTTTGGGGGAGCGATGCAGGCAGTGGGGAGTGTGGGAATCTCATCCCCCAGTGCAGCTGGGAGTTGGGGACAGGGGTAGTAGGGGATAAATGACATGGGGACAAGGACAAAAGTGGATAGGACAGGGATAAAGGGGTTAAATGACATGGGGACAGGGACAAAAAGGGATAAATGGCATGGGGACAGGGACAAAAGGGGCTAAATGACATGGGGACAGGGGTAAAAGGGGATAAACGACATGGGGACAAGGGTAAAAGTGGATAAATGGTATGGGGACGGGTAAAATGGGGATAAATGGCATGGGGACAGGGTTAAAAGGGATGAAATGACATGGAGACAGGGACAAAAAGGGATAAAATTACATCTCAGGGGAAAAGGGATCCCTTTCCCAGGAATGTGCTCCTGCTCAGGAGCCTGGCACGGGGAGGGAGCAGCAAGATGGGAATCCCAAATTTCCACCCCAGGATCTCAATTCCCAGCTTCTTTTCTCTTTAAACTCCCAACATTATCCCGAATTCCCGCTCCTCACCCGTGTCTGTCCCCTGAGCTATTCCCGGCAGGAAAAATCCATGGAATTCCCCAGGGCCTGGGCAGGGTGGGGATGCCATGGATACTGTCACCATGGAGATGTTGCCATGGTGGCACTGCCATGGATGGGAGGAAAGGAAAGAGGAAAAGAAAAAGGAAAAAGGGAAGAAGAATAGAAAAGGAAAGGAAAAAGGAAAGAGGAAAAGAAAAGGAAAAAAGGTGAAAAAGGAAAGTAAAAAAGAAAGGTAAAAGGAAAAGAAAAAGGAAAGGAAAAGAAGGAAAAGAAAGAGGAAAAGAAAAAGGAAAGAGGGAAGAGGAATAGGAAAGGAAAGGAAAAAAGGAAAGAGGAAAAGGAAAAGAAAAAGGAAAGGATAGGAAAAAATAAAAGGAAAAAGGGTAGGGGAAAGGAAAAAGGAAAGTGGGATAGAAAAGGAAAAAGGAAAGAGGAAAGGAAAAAGGGAAGGGAACAAGGAAAGATGAAAAGGAAAGTATAGGAGAAATGAAAAAGGGAAGGGAAAAAGGAAAAAAGAAAAGAAAGGGGAAAGGAAAAACGAAAGGAAAAAAGAAATGAGAAGAGAAAGGAAAAAGGAAAGCAAATTGTGGATACCAGGGGGCTCAGGAGCTCTCAGATCAATGTTTGGGTAGGTTCATAAATGATTCAAAACTCCCTAAAAACCCAAACCTAAAAATCCCAAGAGTGGCTTTCACCTCATTTCACCTCCAAAAAGGCTGTGTGGCAGGAGACAAAGATATGGAGGTGGAGCTAAAAATCCTGAAAATCCATCCCCTTTTCCTTGAAGGAGCAGTTTAATTTGAATTTCTGGAGCTGGCAGTGCCCTTGTCAGGCTGCTGATGGCTTTGGGAGGAGGAGCTGGATGAGAAACGCTTCGGTTTTGTGCCAAATCTCCTTTTTTTTTATTTTGGGCAGAGCTCATCTCAGCGAGGCAGGCGTTGGTTTCGCTCTGTTTCGAGCAGAAATCGGTCTGAAATAATGATAATAATAAAAATAACAATAGGAATTTCTAAAAATTAGGCATTCCTATTGTTATTATTATTTACTCACTCACTCAGTGGGGTTTGTTCCCTCTGAATTCCTCCTGGAAGTTTTTTTTTAGGAATTCCTCAGCCAGCGGGCTGGGATTTTTCCAACTTTGGGTGCAATATTCAAGAACCAACCTTTAAAATCCTGATCCCACAAACCTGAGAAGCTCCCTGAGTAAAATTTGGATTTCAAACCCTTGGTGGTGGAAGGCTTGCCCACATTCCCAGGTGTGTGGTTAAAGAAATAAACCAGGTTTAAAGGTTAAATAAACTCAGCCTCTGAGTGCTCTGCCAGGGAACACCCTGAGGTTTGCAGGGCTCTCTGCTGGGCTCTGCCCTCCCAAAAATCATTCCAGAACCACATTCCTGAGTCTGGGAATGCCTCCTGAAGTGGCTGATGTTGTGTTTCCCTCGGAGGGGTGTGGGAATCATTAAAATCAGAGGGATTTTTGGTGGCCTTTGCAGCTGGGCTGTGACAGCTCCTCGCTGCCACATCCGCCCAGTGACGTGGGAAGGAAGCAGATCCCAAAATCCTGGTGGATTTTGGTGGATTTATCCCTATCCAGGCCAAACCCCAGGTGTGTGGAGGAGCTTTTTGGTGTTCAGAGGCCGAAGGGCTGCTCTGTGTGTGTTTGAGGGCTGGTTCCTGAGGTTTGAAGGTCGTAATTCAGCATTTGAGGCAGCCTGGAAATGGGGTTTGGTGGAGTTTGTGCCTGCTGGGGCTGGATGGAGCAGTGGTTATCCCTGTGTCAATTAGCACTGCTGTTAATTAACAGGACAGTGCCACTAAATGAATTTGCTGGGGGTGTCTTCCCAGCCCACTTGAATTTCTCTGTGGTGGAATCATCTTGATCTCTTCTCGCAGTGCTGGAAATCATTCCTGAGGGATTCAGCGACGAGGTTCTGAATCCCAGTGGGAATAAGGAGTCCCTCATCCCCTCTGATCCACACTCACGTCTTCCTGGCCTCCTACCCAATTAAAAGCCACCAACTAACGATTCCCTGCTGCTAATTAATGATTCCTCCTTGCTGTTCCGTTGCAGGGCAACCATCGATGAGGTGGAAACGGATGTGGTGGAGATCGAGGCCAAGCTTGACAAGGTGAGGTCTGAGGGGGACTGGTGGAATACCTGCTCAGGAATGGGGTCCCTCCAAGTGTCCCCTAAAATCTGAGCCCATTTCCAGCTCTTAAATTCATATTTAGCTTGTCCCCAGAGCTGGGGCCTGGTAGGTGTGGTGGAAATCGAGGCCAAACTTAACAAGGTGAGGTCTGAGGCGGACTGGTGGAATCCCTGCTCAGGAATGGGGTCCCTCCAAGTGTCCCCTAAATCTGAGCCCATTTCTAGCTCTTAAATTGATGTTTAGGCTTGTCCCCAGGGCTCCTCTCAGCTGGCACAGTAGCTCCAGGCAGGCTGTCCTGTCCTGGGCTGGGATTTGTATCCCTGTCCCTGTCCTAGGCTGGGATTTTATCCCTGGACTGGGATTTGTATCCCTGTCCTGCCCTGGGCTGGGATTTGTATCCCTGTCCTAGTGGGATTTTATCTCTGGACTGGGATTTGTATCCCTGTCCTTTCCTGGACTGGGATTTTGTCCCTGTCCCTGTCTCAGGTTAGGATTTTGCCCCTGTCCTGGACTGGGATTTTCCCCCTGTCCCAGGGTTGGATTTCCCACTGTCCCTGTCCCAGGCTGGGATTTTGTCCCTGTCCCAGGCTGGGATTTTGTCCCTGTCCCAGGCTGGGATTTTGTCCCTGTCCCGGGCTGGGTCTCTCCCCATCCTGCCTGTGACAGTCCCAGCACAGCAGGAACGGGAAGGGCGCCTGTCCCCAAGCTCTGGGCTGGCTGTGGGACAAAGCCAGGCTGCTCCGAGCCCGGTGCTGAGCCCGTGTCCCCTTGTCCCCATGTCCCTGTGTGTGTCCCCATGTCCTCGTGTGTCCCCATGTGTGTCCCTGTGTCCCCATGTCCCCATGTCCCTGTCCCCGTGTCCATGTCCCCGTCCATGTCCCCATGTCTCCGTGTGTGTCCCCATGTCCCTGTCCCCGTGTCCCTGTCCCTGTCCCTCAGCTGGTGAAGCTGTGCAGTGGCATGCTGGAGGCGGGCCGGGCCTACCTCAGCACCAACAAACATTTCGTCAGCGGCGTGCGGGACCTGGCGCAGCAGTGCCGCAAGGACCCCATGGTCTCGGTGAGCTGGGGAGCCTCAAATTCCTGCTCTGGGGGCTGGGGATGCTCAAATTCCTGCTCTGGGGGGCTGGGGATGCTCAAATTCCTGCTCTGGGGGGCTGGGGATGCTCTGGGGGGCTGGGGATGCTCTGGGGGGCTGGGGATGCTCTGGGGGGCTGAGGATGCTCAAATTCCTGCTCTGGGGGCTGGGGAGCCTCAAATTCCTGCTCTGGGGGCTGGGGATGCTCAAATTCCTGCTCTGGGGGGCTGGGGATGCTCTGGGGGGCTGGGGATGCTCAAATTCCTGCTCTGGGGGGCTGAGTATGCTCAAATTCCTGCTCTGGGGGGCTGGGGATGCTCAAATTCCTGCTCTGGGGGGCTGGGGATGCTCAGGTCCCTGTTCCTGGCACACAGAGGTCTGGGGGATGCTAAGGTGGGGCTGGGGGATGGTCTGGGGGGGGCTGGGACTGGATCACAAATCCAAGCCCCTCACGCTGCTTAAGCAGCCACTCAAAATGAGATTTGGTGTTTGTAGGGATGCAGAGAGTGTCTGATAACATCAGGCTGGAAAGTCAGAGTGAGGTCACTCAAAATGAGACTGGGAGGAAGATCAGAGATCCCTTTAAAATGAGATTTGGAGGAGGGATGAGAGTGAGATCCACTCAAAATGAGATTGGGAGTCTGGTGACACCAAGCTAGAAACTCAGAGATCCATTTAAAATAAGATTTGGAGTCTGGTAACTCCAGGTTGGAAAGTCAGAGATCCATTTAAAATGAGATTTGTGTTTGAAGGGATGCAGAGTCTGATAGCAGCAGGCAGGAAGGTCAGAGTTTGATCCACTCAAAATGAGATTTGGAGGGAGATCAGAGATCCATTTAAAATGAGATTTGGAGGGCGGGCCAGAGTGAGATCCATTCTGAGATTATTTTATTTTTATTGTATTTTATTGCATTTTATTGTATTTTATTGTATTTTTTTTTCAGGAGTGCCTGGATAAATTTGGGGACAGCCTGCAGGAAATGATCAATTATCACATGGTAATTATCACAAAATCTAATCCCTTCTGGTATTTCATGATGGAAAGGTTTTTTTACCACAGGAAAAATTCCTCAGGGAAAGATTCCTCTCAGGACTGTGGAGTTTGGGAGTGAGGAAATCAGTGGGAAGGAAGAATTATTTATTCATTTTGGGATGGACACAGAAAAAAACCCAGGAATTTGGGATGGGATTGACATGGAAAACCAGGAATTTGGGATGGGATGGACACAGAAAAATATGGGAATTAAGGATGGGATGGACTCAAAAAACGGGGAATTTGGAATTGAGCCCTCACAGCAGGGATGTGAGGGGAACTGCTCCTGGATGAGGAATTCTGAGGAATTCTGCACCTGGGAATGCTGCAGCTGTGGGAAAAGCTGTTCTTTTTCAAAACCATTTATATTTTTCCCTTCTTCAAAATAATTGATTTTTTTCCTCCTTTTTCAAAGTAATTGATTCCCCCCACCCCTTCTTCAAAATAATTGATATATTCCCCTCCTTTTTCAAAATAATTGCTGCTTTTCCCCCTTTTCTCTCTTGCAGATCCTGTTTGACCAGGCCCAGAGGTCGGTGCGGCAGCAGCTGCACAATTTTGTCAAAGAGTGAGTTTGGAATGTTGAATTTGGCTTTTCCCTTTGATTTTCAGCTTCCTGAGGTGCTCATCCCACAGGATAAACCCATCCCAAAATTCAGATCCTCCAGGGCTGATTCTCCAGGATGAACATCCCAAAATTCACATCCTACAAGGATGAACATCCCAAAATTCAGATCCCTGCAGGCCTGAACCTCCAGGATAAACCCATCCCAAAATTCAGACCCTGCAGGGCTGATCCTCCAGAATAAACATCTCAAAGTTCAGATCCCAACAATAACCAATAATAATAGTAATAAAATAAAACAAAGAAATAATACAATATAATAATAACAACAACAACAATTATAACAACAAACCAGTAATAAAATAAAAACCATCTTTCCCAACTCTCTAAAGGCCTGACTGAAGCTGGGATGGATGTGCTGGGCTGAGCTGGGATCCTGCTGACACCCACAGTTTATTGTCACCTTCTAACCCTTATTTTTCCCAGTTTCTCCCCATTTCCCCCACATTCTCCCCATTTCTGGTGCCCAGCGATGTGAGGGAGTTCAAGGAGACCAAGAAGCAGTTTGGCGGGGTGTGGGAGGACATGGAGATCTCGCTGGTGAAAAACAATCATGAACCCAAAAATAACCACAAAATAAACCCAAAACAACCATAAAATAAACCCAGAAAATAACCATAAAATAAACCTAAAATAACCATAAAATAAACCCAAAATTAATCATAAAAATAAAATTAAAAATATCTTTCCCAACTCTCTAAAGACGTGACTGAAGCTGGGATGGACACGCTGGGCTGAGCTGGGGTCCTGCTGACACCCACAGTTTCTTGTCACCTTCTAACCCTGATTTCTCCCAATTTTTCCCCAAATTCTCCCCATTTCTGGTGGCCAGCGACGTGAGGAAGTTCAAGGAGACCAAGAAGCAGTTCGACAGGGTGCGGGAGGACATGGAGATCTCGCTGGTGAAGAACGCGCAGGCGCCGCGGCACAAACCCCACGAGGTGGAGGAGGCCACGGGCACCCTGAGCATCACCAGGAAATGCTTCAGGCACCTGGCCCTGGACTATGTGCTGCAGGTGGCTGCATTCTGCCCCCTGATGCCTCAGTTTTGATCTTTTTTAGTTTTTCACATTCTCTGCATTTTAGTGTCTGGGTGTGGGCTCCGTATGAGGGGAAATTATCCCGCTGAAATTCAGAATTTGCCTGATTTTCCTGACTTTTTTCCATTTTTTAGATTTAAATTTAAATGCTGCATGAAGCTCTCTTCACACAAAAGGGATGCTGGATTTGATTTGGGTTTTTTTTTTTTTTTGTTTAGAGATGGGGCAGCTGAGAGGTGTTTGAAAAACTTTTATTTTATTTTCAGTCTTGTGAAAAGAGTGAGACAATACAGATGTTATAATTCACACCACCAAAATCAAAATACAATTATTTCCTAATTACAATCCACTAGAAGTGATTTTTGGCTTATTAGTGTTAGTTATACTATGCTGTAGATGCTTTAAAGTCAATTAACTAAAATAATACCCTGGAAAAGCAGGAATTGCATCACAGGGAGATGTGGCTGCATGGCTGTGAGTGTGGGGCCTGGCAGCTTTTTATATTTGTTATTTATATAACAAATATTAAAAAATTTTGTTATTTATAACAACCTTTTCTGACCCAGACATGGGGCAGCTGAGAGGTGTTTGAAAAACTTTTCTTTTATTTTCAGTCTCATGTGAAGGGCGAGACAATACAGATGTTATAATTCACACCACCACAATCAAAAATTAACTATTTCCTATTTACAATCCACTAAAAGTATTTTTTTTGCTTAGCAATTTTAATTTTACCATCTTGTAGATGCTTTAAAATCAATTATCTAAAATCACCCTTGGATTTTTTTTCCCCCCAGATCAACGTGCTGCAGGCCAAGAAGAAATTCGAGATCCTGGACGCGGTAAGAAAGGAGCCCTGGGTGCTCCTCAGGAAGAAAATCCAATTTTTTGAGGGATTTTCAGGGTGTTGCTTTCCCCTCTTTGTGCCCACAACAAAGTGGAAGAGGGATAAATTTCTTTGGAAAAGTGAAAAAGGAAGAATTAAGAAAGAAAAATGAACTAAAGTAAAAATAATTTTTTTGTGGTGGGAAAAAAGATAAATTGCTTTAGGAAAGTAAAAAAATAAAAGGTTAAGACTATTTTTTATGAGAAGAAAGTAAAATATTATGGACTAATGGAATTTATGGAATATTATTGAATTTTTGAAATATTATGGAATAAAGATGGAAAAAATCCCTATTTAATATTTGCAATATTCAATTTAATTCCAAACTTGGCGCCCCAGAACTGTGAGGATTCCAGCTGTGCTTTCTCTCCCCAGATGTTGTCCTTCATGCACGCCCAGTTCACCTTCTTCCAGCAGGGCTCCAGCCTCCTGCAGGAGCTCGAGCCCTACATGAAGAAATTGGCCAGCGAGGTGAGGGCTGGACCCCAACACTTTCGGGGGGTCCCCAGTTCCTGCCGGTTCTGCCCCTTTTTGTCAATTTTTGTCCTTTTCTGCCCCTTTTGCCCCTTTTTTTGCTCTTTTTTGCCTCCTTTTCACCTTTTTTTTTGGCTTCTTTTTCCCTCCTTTTCCCTTCTTTTTGCCCTTTCCCCACTCCCGTTTCCCCTCCTGAGTGCCCACACAGATGTGGCGTTTTCCCCCCCTTTTCTTCCCATTTTTGCCTCCTTTTTCCCTTCTTTTCCCCTTCTTTTTTCCCCCCTTTCTTGCTTCCTTTTTGCGTTTTTCCAGTCTTTTTCCGCTCCTTTTCCCCTCCTTTTCCCTCCCTTTCCCCCCTTTTTTCTCCTCCTTTTCCCTTTTCCCCCTCCTTTTTCCCCTTTGTTCCCCTCCTTTTTTCCTTTTCCCTTCCCCTTTTCAGCCTTTTCCCCTTTTCCCCTCCTTTTCCCCCTTTTTCCCTCATTTTTCGCTTTCCCCCCCTTTTTCCCTCATTTTTTCCCCTTTTCCCCTTGTTCTTGTTTTGGGGTGGGATCTGTCCGTCTGTCAGTGTTATTTTGGGGTCTGTCCGTCTGTCCGTGTTTATTTCGGGGTCTGTCTGTCAGTCCATCTGTCAGTCTGTCAGTATTTTGGGGTCTGTCTGTCTGTCAGTATTATGGGGAGGGGTCAGTCAGTCTGTCAGTATTTTGGGGTCTGTCTGTCTGTGTTACAGGGTGGTGTCAGTCAGTCCATCTGTCAGTCTGTCAGTATTTTGGGATCCGTCTGTCTGTCAGTATTATGGGGAGGGGTCTGTCAGTCAGTCTGTCAGTATTTTGGGGTCTGTCTGTCTGTCTGTCCGCCCATCCTGACCCCATTCCCGTTCCCAGCTGGACCAGCTGGTGATCGCGTCGGCCGTGGAGAAGCGGGAGATGGAGCACAAGCACGCGCTGATCCAGCAGCGGGTGAGCCCGGCAGCAGCACCCGCCCTTCCCAAAAATCCCTGGAAATTCCGCATTTTCCTGGAAATTGCAGATTTGCCTGACTTTCCTGGGAATTCTGGGGTTTCCTGATTTTCCTGAAAAATTCCTGATTTTCCTGGAAATTCTGGGGTTTTCCTGGAAATTCCAGATCTTCCTGACGTTCCTGGAAATTCAGGATTTTTCTGACATTCCTGGATGTCCCCAAGAGCCTCATGGCTCTTGGGTAGCTCCAACTACTTGTTATTATTAATATTATTAAAAATAGAAGTTTAGGATATTATTATTATTATAGTTTATAGTTTATATTATTATTCCTATTATATTATATGATTATTTATTATTACTATACTATTATTATTACTATACTATTATTATTAATTTATTGAGACTACAATTTCAGAATAGATTTTAAACAGAATTTTAAATGATTTATTATTATTCATTATATTTATACATATTTAATATTATTTAAAATATTTAAATTAATTTAAATTTCAACAGAATAAATTCTGTTTTTTTCTCAGAATAGACCCTGAGGCATCTCAGGGTTTTCCACCCTTGGCAACAATTCCTGACCAGAAGGTTAGGAATAAATAATGAATTATTATTATTATCAATAATCTAATTTATTTTTCTTTGCTTCCTCTTCTCCCTATGGCCCTGCAGACCCTGATGCAGGTGAGTGCCCACCTGCATCCCCTTCCTGCTGTGTTAGGCCAGGTTCAGCCACCTAAGCCAAGGAGGAGTAAAGAAAAAAGGGCTGAGACCTCAAATCTCCAAAACCCCAAATCCCCAAAACCCCAAAAGGGAGCAGGAGGAGTCAAGGAAAAAAGGGCTGAGACCCCAAAACCCCAAATCCCCAAAAGGGAGGAGGAGGAGGAGTAAAGGAAAAAGATCTGAGACCCCAAATCCCTGAAACCCTGAACCCCCAAATCCCCAAAACCCCAATCCCTGGATCCCCAAATCCCTGAATCCCCAAAACCCCAGTCCCTGAATCCCCAAATCCCTAAATTGTTCCCTGGCAGCCCCAGGATGCTGCTCCCTGAGCGGGGACAGGACCAGAGCTGCTCCTTCCTTCCCTCCCTCCTGCCCGAAATGAAGAAAGCATCTCCACCCCAATCCCAGAAATCCTGTCAGAGACAGAAATCCTGCCCCAAAACTTTGGGATTTCAGTAGATTTGTCTCTTTTTCTTGTTTTATCAAACCATCTCCGCCCTGATTTCAGAAATCCTGCCCCAAAACTTTGGGATTTTGGCAGATTTGTCCTTTTTTCTTGTTCTGTTAATCCATCTCTACCCTAATCTCAGAAATGCTGCCCCAAAACTTTGGGATTTTTGCAGATTTCTCCCTTTTGGATATTTTATTAAAGCATCTGCACCCCGATCCCAGCGCTCCTGCCAGTCTGAGTCCCTTTCCCTTCTCCAGGATTTCTCCTACGATGACCCCAAGATGGAATTCAACGTGGATGCCCCCAACGGGGTGGTGATGGAAGGTTACCTCTTCAAGAGAGCCAGCAACGCCTTCAAAACCTGGAACAGGTGAGAAATAATTCCAGTTCCACCTGATCTTAGGCTGAGCCTCTGCCCCACATCCCTCCCTGAGCGAGATCTCAGGATTTGCAGCTGAGAAGTTCATTGAAACAATTCATGTATTTATTTCATTTATTTAATTTATTTTGTCCAAATCCTAAAGAAAAGTTGAATTTTTAATGGGGCAATGCTGATGTCTGTCTGTGTGTCTGTCCCCCCTCAGGAGGTGGTTTTCCATCCAGAACAGCCAGCTGGTCTACCAGAAGAAGCTGAAGGTCAGTGAGGCTGGCCCAGGTGACAGCAGGCGATTAATTAATTAATTAATTCATTCATTCATTCATTCATTGCTTTGGCTGGGGAATTCTGCAGCGAGCGGAGTGGCGGGGCAGGGGAGGGACAGCAAGGCCACGAGTTGGAAAAAGACAGCAAAGATTTATTAAATAATTATTTATTAAGTATTTTTTACTAAATAATTATTTATTACTTATTATTATAATTATTATTTATAATTATTATTTACTTATAATTATTTATTCCTTACTATGTTATTAATAATTATTTATTTATTAAATAATATATTTATTTAGTAAATAATTACTTATTAAGCAATTATTTGTTAAGTATTTTTTTATTAAATAGTTGCTTATTGAGTAATTATTTCTTAATTCTTTATTAGATAATGTATTAATTATTTATTAAGTGTTTATTTATTTATTCAGTGTTTATGTATTCAATATTGGGGAGGGTTTGAAGGATTTGGGAAGGAATTTGCAGGGTTTGAGCAGGAGGAACTTTGGAGATTTTGGGAAGGAATTTGGAGATTTTGGGAAGGAATTTGCAGGGATTGGGAAGGAATTTGCAGGGTTTGAGCAGGAGGGACTTTGGAGGATTTAGAAGAGAGTTCAGAGGGTCTGGGCAGGAACTCCCCAGTTGTGCCCCAGCCCCCCAAGCCCCTCCAGGCCCTGCTGTGCCCCCCAGGACGTGCTGACCGTGGTGGTGGAGGACCTGAGGCTCTGCACGGTCAAACCCTGCGAGGACATCGAGAGGAGGTTCTGCTTCGAGGTCGTGTCCCCCACCAAGTGAGTCTGCGGCTCCCTGGGCTGGGCTGAGATGGGATTTAAGCAGAGGATGATAAATTTTGGTTGGCAGATGCCAGAATGCTTTGGGAGTTGCTCAGACATAACCATAAGCTGGATCTGATTGTATAATTATATATATTTAATTATAAGAAAATATTCAGATTAAATTGTTATTAGTTCTTGATACAATAATTATCTATTTATAGAATATATTCTATTCTATTCTTTATATTGAGAATTTATGCTTCATATATAATGTCCAGCTTTTAAAAACAGTTTCCAGACCTGCCTGGAGGGTTTGGATTGGGAGCACCTCTGGCTGTCCAACCTTATGGGGAAAATTTTTACCTGGAAGCTTTGGAGTGGGAATAGCCCAGCCTTGTGGGGAAAATTTTTACCTGAAAGGTTTGGAGTGGGAACACCCCAAGGTCATAGGGTTAATTTTTACCTGGAAGCTTCTGAGTGGGAACACCCCAAACTTACGGGGTAAATTTTTACCTGGAAGGTTTGGAGTGGGAACACTCCAACCTTGTGGGGTAAATTTTCACCTAGAAGCTTTGGAGAGGGAACATCCCAAGCTTTCAGAATTAATTTTGGCCAGAAAGTTTTGAGTGGGAACACCCCAGCCCTGTGGGGTAAATTTTTACCTGGAAGGTTTGGAGTGGGAACATCCCAACCTCGTGGGCTAAATTTTACTTGGTAAGTTTGGAATGGGAACGAACCCAACCTCGTGGGGTAAATTTTTGCCAGGAAGGTTTGGAGTGGGAACACCCCAACCACATGGGGTAAATTTTTGCCCCGCTGCAATTCCCATGCTGAGGATGCAGGGGCACAGCCTTGCCCCACAGCCTGGTAGCATTTTTGGCTCTCCCCACCCGTTGCAGGAGCTGCATGCTGCAGGCTGACTCGGAGAAGCTGCGCCAGGCCTGGATCCAGGCTGTGCAAGCCAGCATCGCCTCTGCCTACCGCGAGAGCCCCGACTGCTACTACAGCGAGGTGGGTCTGCAGAGAGGGCTCCAAACTGTCTCTGTGCAGAGCTTGTAAAAGTCTTTGCAGCTCAGGAAACATGGAAATGGATCTGTAAAAAATTCGTAAAACTGTTCATTTTACAGTTCAACAAAATGGGGGAGATGTGGGAAATGGGTTTGTAAACAATTCCTAAAAGTGTTCTTTTTACAGCTCAGCAAAAAGGGGGAGATGTGGGGAATGGATTTGTAAACAATTCCTAAAAGTGTTCTTTTTACAGCTCAGCAAAAAAGGGGGAGATGTGGGAAGTGGATTTGTAAACAATTTTTAAAACTGTTCTTTTTACAGACTTTTCAAAACTTTTTGCAGTTCAAGAAAGAAAATTCTTTACAAATCCATTTCCATGGATTGTAAAGAATGGATTTGTAAAGAATTCCCCAAACCAGACAGAAAGCTCACACTGCCTTGTACATGCATTTACAACCACTGAGACAAACACTTACAACCCAGTGTGTAACCAAACTAGTAAGCCAAGAAACGCTTATATTGTAATTAAAAAATAGTTAGCTTCTAATTGTAATAACATAAATTATACCATCTGTGTTGTCTCACCCTCCACATAAGAGTGAAAATAAAATTTTAGGCATCACACCAAGTCGAGTTTGCTCTCCTCCAGATGTGCTGTGAGACAGAGTGAAAATTTAATAGGGTAGGAATTTATTTAGATTGGAGTGAAATGTGTTGGTTTAACTTTGTTAGTATAAGTCAAATATGTTGTTTAGTTTAGCAAGTTTGTAGTATTGAAAAAACTATTTTAGTTAAAGAAAATGTGAATTTTTAAGCTAAAGAGATGAGAGATTTTTTGAATTTTGAAATAAATAGGACGGAGTGACCCAAGAGTTCTTCCCAATAAAAAACCAGCTACAAGTGTAAATCAGCAGAATAAATATGCATAAACCTGTTGTGAAATTGAATTGTAAGGTTTTAATTTTTTTTCAGCTGGTGTAAATCTGATTTCTTGCTTTTCCCTACAAATATTTTGAAGAATTGTAAGTTTTTAATTTTTTATCCATTGTTTCAGATAGTATAAATCTCATTTATTGCTTTTCCCTACGAACCTTTATAGGAATTGTAAATTTTAAATTTTTTTTCAGCTGGTGAATCTGATTTATTGCTTTTCCCTACAAACCTTTATAAGAATTGTACGGTGTTAATTTTTTTTTTTTCAGCTGGTTAATCTGATTTCTTGCTTTTCCCTGCAGAGGCTGGACAGAACCGCTTCCCCCTCCACCAGCAGCATCGACTCGGCCACAGACTCGCGGGACCGCGGCGGGAAGGGGGAGCCGATCCTGCAGCGGCTGCAGAGCGTCCCTGGCAATGACCAGTGCTGCGACTGCGGCCAGCCCGACCCGCGCTGGGCCAGCATCAACCTGGGCATCCTGCTCTGCATCGAGTGCTCCGGCATCCACAGGTGCTGCGGGTCCGGGAAATCCTGGGGGAAATCCTGGGGGAATGGGGGAAATCCCGGGAGAATGGCCTGGGATGGAGTGTGGGATCCCAGGGGAAAGTGGGCAGGGATGGAGGGTGGGATCCCAGGGATGAGGGCAGGATCCCAGGGAAAACAGCCAGGGATGGAGGGCAGATCCCAGGGAAAATGGGCAGGGATGGAGGGCAGGATCCCAGGGAAAAATCCTGGGGAAATGGGCAGGGATGGAGGGTGGGATGCCAGGGATGGAGGGCAGCATCCCAGGGAAAAATCCTGGGGAAATGGGCAGGGATGGAGGGTGGGATCCCAGGGATGGAGGGCAGCATCCCAGGGAAATGGGCAGGGATGGAGGGCAGGATCCCAGGGAAAACACCAGGGATGGAGGGCAGATCCCAGGGAAAACGGGCAGGGATGGAGGGCAGATCCCAGGGAAAACAGCCAGGGATGGAGGGCAGGATCCCAGGGAAAAATCCTGGGGAAATGGGCAGGGATGGAGGGCAGGATCCCAGGGAAAAATCCTGGGGAAATGGGCAGGGATGGAGGGCGGGATCCCAGGGAAAAATCCTGGGGAAATGGGCGGGGATGGAGAGCGGGATCCCAGGGAAAAATCCTGGGGAAATGGGCAGGGATGGAGAGCGGGATCCCAGGGAAAAATCCTGGGGAAATGGGTGGGGATGGAGGGCAGGATCCCAGGGGGAAATGGGCAGGGATGGAGGGCAGGATCCCAGGGAAAACAGCCAGGGATGGAGGGCGGATCCCAGGGGAAAATCCTGGGGAAATGGGCGGGGATGGAGGGCGGGATCCCAGGGGGAAATCCTGGGGGAAATCCTGGGGAAATGGGTGGGGATGGAGGGCAGGATCCCAGGGGGAAATGGGCAGGGATGGAGGGTGGGATTCCAGGGAAAACAGCCAGGGATGGATTAAAAGGTTCTCAGGAAAAGCAGCCAGGGATGGAGTGCAGGATCTCAGGAGAAGTGGTGGAGCTGGACTTGCAGTGTTTGATCCAACAGATCCAGCAGAAATTGTCCCTATGTGTTTTATTTGTACAATCCCTGGCTCAGCTCCATCTGCACAGGGAGATAATTAAGAACTGGCCTAACCTTGTTAGGGGAATTGTGGGCCTGTGGAATTGTAATAATTCCTGGATTTTGTCCCTCTTGGCTGAACAGGAGCCTGGGTGTTCACTGCTCCAAGGTCCGATCCCTCACGCTGGATTCCTGGGAGCCAGAGCTGCTGAAAGTGAGTGCTGGATTTTCCCAGGGAGAAATGCTGGGAATGCAGGGATTCCCCTGGAAAAGGGGGAATTCCTCCCCTGAGGCTTTAATTCCCTCCCTGAATTTCACTTCCAGCTGATGTGTGAGCTGGGCAACAGCACCATGAACCAGATTTACGAGGCACAGTGTGAGGAGCTGGGGCTGAAGAAACCAACAGCAGGGAGCTCCAGGTGAGCCCACCTCAAAATGTCTCTTTTTCAAGTCTGAGAAATAGGAATTTTAGGCTTCAGGTAGACAAAAACACAGAAAAGCAGCTCCATTTGCTCATGGCAGCTTTGTCTGATATTCTGGGATTTTAGGAAGGTTCTTGGCAGCTCTGGGATGACTTTGGTTGGAAATTGGTGATATTTTTGGATCTCAGCAATGTTCTGGCTGCTCTGGGATGACTTTGGCCAAGATTTTGAGATTATTTTGGGATCTCAGGAATGTTCTGCCCTAAATTCCTGTTTTTCTGCTGCCCTCCCTCAGGCAGGACAAGGAGGCCTGGATCAAGGTGAAGTACGTGGAGAAGAAGTTCCTGAAGAAGCTGCCGGGCGGGGAGGTGCTGGCCGAGAGCGAGCGCAAACCGCGCCGCTGGTGCGTCAAGAAGTGCCAGCGGCACCACAGCGGCTGCCGGGCGCCGGCGGCGCGCAGGAAATTCCGCCAGGAGCCTGGCAGCGCCGCGGCCGCCGTGCTGGCCTCAGGTGGGGCCACCGGGACCTGGGGCGGGGAAGGGCATCCCTGGGGAAATGGGTGGGAGGGATGGCATGGGTGTCACTTATATCTATATATATCTAATATAGATATATATTTTTATATATACATTAATATACTTTTAAAATATGTATTCATATATATTCATATTTATATAGTTCATATATATTTATATATAATATACTTTTAAAATATATGTATATCTAATATACGTATATATTTATATATATGTAATATACATTTTAATATATATCTATATATATCTAATGTAATTTTTAATATATCTAATATGCATACATATTTCTAATGTACTTTTTTATATATATTTAATATACATATATATTTATATATATCTAACATACTTATTCATCTGTATAGCTAATATGCATATATACATTTGATGTACTTTTTAATGCATATCTAACATACATGTATATCTAATATACTTATATATGTAACCAATATATCGATATATTTATATATATCTAATATACTTTTAAATCAATCTATCTAATATACAAATATATTTATATATATAAAATGTACTTATTAATATCTGTCTAATATACGTTTATATGTATATATTTTAAAATATATATATCTCTAATATATGTATATATTTATATATGTATATAATATACTTTTAAATATATATGTATCTGATATACATATATATTTTTTTATATATCTAATATACTTAGGAAGGTTTTGACTGCCCTGGGATGACTTTGGTCAGGAATTTGAGATATTTTGGGATCTCAGGAAGGTTCTGGCTACTCTGGGATGACTCTGGCCAGGATTTTGTGCCATTTTGGGATCTCAGGAAGGTTTTGACTGCCCTGGGATGACTTTGGTCAGAAACTTGAGATATTTTGGGTGGTGTGCCCGCAGCCCCGGCTCCGGCTGTGCAGGCCCCGCTGGGCAATCCCCTCCTTTGCTGGCCATTAATTCCGAATTTCCCGTGTGAAGCAGCAGCCACGCTGGAGAGGAAATTCCGCCGGGATTCACTCTTTTGCCCCGATGAGCTGGACTCCCTCTTCTCCTACTTTGACACTGGCGCCGGCTCCGGCCCTCGCAGTAAGTGCTTTAAAATAGATTTTGGGGGTTTTTTGGTTTGTTTTTTTTTTTTTGAGGGGATTTTTTTGTTTTTTTGTTTTTTTGGTTGTATTGGGATTTTTATTTTTAATAGGTTTTTGGTTGACCTCTGCAAGAGAGGCAATGGCAAGGAAGGGTTCTGGCTGCTCTGGGATGACTTTGGTTAAAAATCTGTGATATTTTGGGTTCTTAGGAAGGGTTCTGGCTGCTCTGGGATGACTTTGGTCAGAAATTTCTGATATTTTGGGTTCTTAGGAAGGTTCTAGCTGCTTGGGATGACTTTGGTTAAAAATCTGTGATATTTTGGGTTCTTAGGAAGGGTTCCGGCTGCTCTGGGATGACTTTGGTCAGGAATTTTTGACATTTTGGGTTCTTAGGAGGGTTGGACTCAATGGTCTTGAAGGTCTCTTCCAACCTGGGGATCCTGTGCATCCTGTGAATTCTGTGGATTCTGGGATTCCGTGGATCCTGTGATCCTGTGGATCCTGTGATTCCTGTGACCCCATGTCTCCTGTAGATCCCGTGATCCCATGGATCCTGTGGACCCTGTGATCCTGTGGGTTCCATGGATCCCATGGATCCTGTGGACCTTGTGATCACGTGGATCCTGTGATCCAGTGGATCCCGTGATCCTGGGGCTCCTGTGATCCCATGCATCCTGTGGCTCCTGTGATGCCTTGGCTCTGGTGATCCCGTGGCTCCTGGCCCTGGAGTGGAGGTGCCAGGCAGGGCTGGCCACGGGGCCGGTGCTCAGGTGGCCGTGGTTTGTGTCCTGTTGGCCCCGCAGGTCTGAGCAGCGACAGCGGCCTGGGCGGCAGCACCGACGGCAGCACCGACGTGCTCGGCTTCGGCGCCGTGGTGGACAGCGTCACCGAGGAGGGTCAGTGACACCGGGCAGGGGGTGACAGTGTCACCGAGGAGGGTCAGTGACACTGGGCAGGGGTGACAGCGTCATTGAGGAGGGTGGGTGTCACTGACACGGGACAGGGGGTGACACCAGGGAAGGTGGGTGGCACACAGTGAGACGCTTTTGGCTGATCTCTCCTCTCCCTTTCCCTCGCCTTCTTCCTTCCTTTCCCCATTTTCCCTTCCCCTCCCTTTTTTTTTACTCCTTTTTTTTCCTCCCTTGTCCCAACTCTTTCCCCCTTTTTCTTGCCCCATTGTCTTGCCCCTTTCCTTTCCCCCTTTTCCCCCCACTTTCCCCGTTTTTCCCCTCTCCCGCACAGAGTGCGAGGTGTCGGAGGACTCGAGTGGAGAGGCCGAGCTGGAGCCGGAGGCATCGGACGCGGAGGAGGTGCGGGAGCCGGCGCTGGCGCTGTGCCGGGCGGCGCGACGCCGGGCGCTGCCGGCGCTGGCCGCGGCACTGGCCCACGGCGCTGACGTCAACTGGGCCAACGAGGAGGACGAGGGCAAAACGCCCCTGATCCAGGCCGTCAGCGGGGTGAGGAATGGGAATTCCCATTGGGAATTGGGGCTGGGAATTCCCCTTGGGAATGGTCTGGTCTGGGTGAAATGGTGTGGGATGTGGGAATTCTCTTTGGGAATGATCTGGGTGAATTGATGTGGAATTTCATTAGGGAATTGGGTCTGGGTGAAGTGGTCTGGGAATTCCCTTTGGGAATGGTCTGGTCTGGGTGAAATGGTGTGGGAATTCCCTTTGGGAATTGTCAGGTCTGGCTGATCTGAAATTCTCTTTTTGGAGCACAGGAATTGTCCAATCTGGCTGAATTCTTGTGGAAACTCTTTGGGAATTGCCCAATCTGGTTGAACTGACCAAGAATTCCCATTTTTCCCCCCCGTTCCCAGGGCTCGCTGCTGGCCTGTGAGTTCCTGCTGCAGAATGGGGCTGATGTGAACCAGCGGGACGCGCGGGGCCGGGCGCCACTGCACCACGCCACCTCCCTGGGCCACACCGGGTGAGCACCGCGGCGTTCCCGCTGCTCCGGAGCGGAATTTCCACCTGGAAAACACAGACAGTCCCCAGATAGGCAGCATCCAGCTGCAAAATCTGGATCTTGGAGCGTGATAAAAGCTCAGGCGGAGCGAGGCGGGAGATTGGGGTGGAAGCTTTTCCTTGGGGGGCTGGGTTGGAATTCCCAGGGAATTTGTGTTTGGAATGGAATTCCCAGGGAATCCGTGGCTGGGGAGGGGCTGGTTTGGAATTCCCAGGGAATTTGAGATTGGGATGGAATTCCCAGGGAATTTGCGGCTGCCCCATCCCTGGAAGTGCCCCAAGGGCAGGTTGGAGCACCCTGGGATAAGGATGATGATTTGGAATTTGGTGCCTCTGGAATTCTTTCCCTGAGGCTTCCTGTTCCCCAGGCAGGGGTGCCTGTTCCTGACACACAGGGCTGGAATTTGGGAATTCAGGAATTCCATTGTCCTTTTCCAGGCAGGTGTGCCTGTTCCTGAAGCGCGGGGCCACCCCGGACACGCCGGATGGGGACGGGCAGGACCCGCTGAGCATCGCCGTGAGCGCCGCCAACGCCGACATCGTTACCCTGTGAGCGATGGGCCTGAGCCACACCGGGAATGCTGGGGAACACCAGGAATGCTGGGGAACACTGGGAATGACTGGGGAACACCGGGAATGACTGGGGAACACTGGGAGAGGCTGGGGAACACCGGGAAGGGCTGGGGAACACTGCCTTAGGACTGGGAAATACTGGGAATGCTGGGAAACACTGCCTGGAGCAGGGAAATACTGGGAAACACTGCCTGGGAACAGGGAAACAGTGGGAAATACTGGGAACACTGGGAATTGCTGCCTGGGGACTGGGAACGCTGGGAAGTACTGGGAACACCGGGAAACACTCCCTGGGGGACAGGAATTACCAACCCCTCTGTCCCGCAGGCTGCGTCTGGCGCGGATGAACGAGGAGATGCGCGAGGCCGAGGGGCCCCTGGGGCAGCCTGGGCAGTTCCCAGGCAGCAGCCCCACGGAGCTGCAGTACAGGAAATGCATCCAGGAGTTCATCAGCCTCAACATCGACGAGACCTAGGGACAAACCTGGACAAACCCGCGGATATTCGGGATATTCTGTGTTTTCCCTGCTGGTTGCGATGCCCGCGCCCCCCTGGCAGGCGTCGCTCCTGCGGGAGTTTTGGTTTTTTTGTTGTTTTCCTGTGGGGTTTTGGGGGTTGAGTTCTCATGTTTGACTACTGGATGGTTGAATTTGGGGTTTTTTGGGGGGTTTTTTTTTGGAGGAGGAGGAGATTCCCAGGGTGCGACTGCACGTTGTGGCACATGGGGTGGAGCGTGGGAGGTGAGCTTAGAGGTTAAAAAAACAACCAAAAAAATAGGGAAAAAAAAAACTCCAAAAGAGAAGAAAAGGAAAAACCTCCTGTGGCCAGGAGAGAGCCACCAACGTCAGGAGCGGACTGAGGCGCTGGCCTGGAATTCCGGCAGGGATCGTGGCTGGAGCCTGCTCTGCCCCAGGAGGACTCCGAGGTGCCCTCCCAGGCTGGTTTTGGGGCAGGGATGCTCCAGAGGCCCGGCGGGATCAGGATCGGGATTGGGATCAGGATCGGGATCTCCGGCGGCTCCTGGCCTTTTGCTGCTCTTAGGACCAAACCAGCCATGCTCCCCCGACTGCTGCCCTGGCTGCTCAAAGCCATCGTTGCTTCCATCCTGCTGGAATGCCCAGAAGGGTTCCCATTCCTGAAAGGATTCCCATCCTGCAGGATTCCTAGGAGGATTCCCATCCCACAGCATTCCTGAAAGGATTCCCACCCTGCTGGATTCCTGCAAGGATTCCCATCCCACTGGAATTCCTGAAAGGATTCCCATTCCACTGGAATGCCTGGAAGGGTTCCCATGCCACAGGATTCCTAAAAGGATTCCCATCCTGCAGAATTCCTGAAAGGATTCCCACCCTACTGGAATTCCCAGAAGGATTCCCATCCTGCAGCGTTCCTGAAGGGATTCCCATCCCACTGTAATTCCTGAAAGGATTTCCATCCCACTGGAATTCCCAGAAGGATTCCCATCCTGCAGGAATTCCCGGAAGGGTTCCCATCCCGCTGGAATTCCTGGAAGCAGCAGCGCTGATCCCTGTCGCTGGCGATGGGCTCGGGGCAGGGAGGGAAACCAGCTCCAGCTGCTTGGTGCAATTTCACAGAATCCCAGGATTCTGTTATCCCAGAATCCCAATTATCCCAGAATCCCAGAACCCAATTATCCCATTATCCCAGAATCCCATTATCCTAGAATCCAATTATCCTAGATCCCATTATCCCAGAATCCCATTATCCCAGATCCCAACCTGCTCCCAAATCCACCCTAAATCCCAGTCCTGCAATCCTGGCTCAGCTAGGGCGGGTTGGGAGCTGATCCTGCCCCTAAACCCAGCCTAAATCCCTGTGTCCCTGCAGCAGGACCCCCCAGCTCCCTGTGGCGCCCCCAGCCCAGCCCCTGGAGCTCTCCAGGACCCCAAATCCCACTCTGATCCCAGCCTGGATCTGGGATTTGGGGCAGCCCTGCAGGGAATTCCCTCTCCAGCCCCATCCCACCCTGCCCGCCCCTCCACACGGGGATTTCTTGGTGCTGAGTCTTGTCAGGTTCCTTCAAAGCTCTTGAGAGCAAAGGAGAATTTTCACTTTTGGGAGAGAGAATTTTCACATTTCAGAAAGGGAATTTACACATTGGAGAGAGGGAGAATTTCTACATTTGAGAGTGGAGAAGAATTTTCACATTTGAGAGCAAATTAGAATTTCGACGTTTGAGAGAAATTTCACATTTGAGCGAAAGAGAATTTCTACATTTGGGAGAGAAAGAATTTCTTCACATTTGAGAGAGAATTTCTTCACATTTGAGAGGAAAGGAAAATTTTCACCATTTGAGAGAGAAGGAAAATTTTCACATTTCAGAGAGAATTTCTTCACATTTGACAGAGAAGAATTTCTTCATTCTTGAGAGTGGAGTGGAATTTTCACATTTGAGAGCGAGAATTTTCACCATTTGAGAGCAAAGGAGAATTTCTTCACTCTTGAGAGCAAAGGAGAATTTTCCCATTCGAGAGAGAATTTCCACATTTGAGAGAGAATTTTCCCATTTGAGAGAATTCTCCCATTCGAGAGAGAATTTCCACATTCGAGAGGGAATTTCTTCACATTTGAGAGAGAGAATTTTCACCATTTGAGAGAAGGAGAATTTTCACATTTGAGAGCAAAGGAGAATTTCTTCACTCTCGAGAGCGAAGGAGAACTTTCACCATTTTCCACCATTTTCCAATTTTCCCCAGGAGAATTTCCCACTCAGCACGGCCATGATTTGATTTTTTAACCAACTTCAAACTGATTTTCAAGCCCCTCACTGCTTTCACCACCTTTTTTAGGAGTTAAAAACCTGACTGATCCTTCTGAGAACTGAGCAAAACCGCAACTTCCGCTTTTTGGGTCATTTTATTTCACTTTTTTTCTGGGAATTCTGGCCAGAAATCCTGGCCAGGCTGCACCCTGGAAGCTCAGACTCACTGCTGAAGTTGGGGAAAAAAATGTAAATATCGACGCAAAAAGAATCATCTTGCCAGACAATGGATTTATTTAAGATGTATTGGTACTTTTAAATATTTAGAGTCAATGTATAAAAAGCAACTTGGTGCACTTTTCCTACCTGACAGTATTTTGGGGGGGGGTTTATGTTTTTTTGTTAAGGGTTTTGTGCTGTCTTTTTTAATCCGTGGAATTGTTAAGTATTTAATTTATTCTTATTATTGATGTGCCCAGAGGACTGTGCAATTTTTATTCCATACAGTTGGTCTGTATTTAATGTCAGGATTTTTCCCCCCCTTTGTAGAGTTTTTAGGGAATATTTTTCCAAAAATTGCCTCTTTTTTGTTCCCTTTTCTTCCCCTCCTTTTTCCCTTTTGTGTTCACGTCACAGCTCCTGAGGCATCCAAAGCCTCAAATTTGAGATCAACGCCCTGAATCCCCAAATCAAACATTTCTCCAGGAAAAACAAAAGTGAAGGATGCACTTCTCCCTATTTCCTGTGTTTCTTGGATTTTTTATTGCTCCTTGCGGGGGGGGTTCCTGGGTGGGTGTGGGCGCCAAATTCTGGAGGGGGGAGCAGGGAAAACGCACAGAAAAGTCAATTTCTGTTCTCAAAATGCACTTCCAGGCTCTGAGGGGGGTGAAAGAAAATATTAATATTTTATTTTTTCCTGCCTGCAGCACAGCTGGGTTTGTGTTGTACCATCCTGGTTGGAATTTTTGCCCTAAATGGGATTTTTTTTCTGGTTTTTTTTTTTCCCCCATTCTCCCTTTTATTTTTCCCATTCCTTTTATTTTTCCAGAGTGTTTTCTCTGGGATTGAACCACATTTAACAGGAGGAATTTAAAAGCAAAATCACTTCAGCCAGAGGATCCTCCATCCTTGGAATTTTTTGGGATCTGGGGGAATTTTCATTTGACCCAAGTGCCTGGACTTGGATCCAGTCTGGGTTTTGATCTCCAGGCTCTGATTCCAGCTGGAATTTTCAATATTCCAGGGTTATTTCAGGTTATTCCAGCCTTGCTGCATTGGAGCTGGGAAATTTCTTGGATATTTGAAAGGAAAAAAAAAAAAAAAAAAAAGCGGGATTGGAAGTTTTGATGCCTTTAAGAAAAAATCTGTGAGAAGCTGAGCTGTGCTGGGCATCAAATGGAAAATTAATTGGAAAATACCTGGGAGATCATCAAATTAATTAATTAATCATAATTAATTGTCTTGCAGCTCCCAAGAGAGAACTTGGAGGGAGGATTTTGGGATTGAGAGATCAGGAACAGCAGAAATATCAGGAAAATACCAAATTCAGGATCAGGAACAAGAAAAAAATCTGAAAAAATCCAGGATTGGTGCAAGGAAAGCCCAGGAGCTGCTCAAGGAATGCTCAGAATTCCTGCCTGGGCAGGAAGGGGAATTTCTGTGTTCCTCAGGAATTCCTAATTGGATATTTGGAGCTTTTTAGCAATTTCTGATTTGAGGTTTTTAGCAATTCCTGATTTGAGTCTTCCTCACCAATTCCTGGTTTGAATTTTTGAGTTTCTCACCCACTCCTAATTTGAGTTCGGAGTTTTTTAGCAATTCCTGGTTTGACTTTTGGAGGTTTTTACCTGGTTTGAGTTTTGGAGTTCCTCACCAATTCCTGGTTTAAGTTTAGCAATTCCTGGATGGGGGCAAAGATGGCTGCGCCCATCGTATCACGTCACGTGGGACAAAGATGGCTGCGCCATTGTGTCACGTAACGTGGGGCAAAGATGGCTGCGCCCGCTGCATCACGTGACGGGGCAAAGATGGCGGCTGTCGGGACGGGGTCGATTTTGGCGGATTTTTGTGGGCCCGCCGCACACCCTGAGTGCCGCTGCTGCTGTTGCGGTGCAGCCGCACCGGGGGACGCCACGGGGGATTGATTTTAAAGCGCGGGATTACCGTCGGAATTTCGATCAGGCGGCTGGCAGGACGACTACAGCTTGGGGTCTTTTCTGAGGCGGGAGGGGCGGGATTGGCGCAGCGACGCGGTGACGTCAGGCGGGGCGGGGCGGAGCGGTGTGGGTGCAGTGCGCGGTGTCACCGGCAGGGAGCGCTGCGGGCCCGCGGGAGGCGCGCTCGGTGCGTGCAGTGCGCGGTGTCACCGGCAGGGGGCGGTACCGGTGCCGGGTTCGTGCGAGGAGCGCCCGTTTTGAAATGCGGATTAAAAATTAAACTTTATAAGACTTTAAAATTATATAAACTTTATAAACCTTATAATTTTAATAAAGATTTTATTTATAGCCTTGTGGACGTATGTTGGGATTTATTGTTTTTTAATGGCTATGCGTACCTCTGAGAACTCTTGATCTTTTTTTATTACTTTTACTAATTTCTATATGCGTAGAATTTTATAATAGGTTAATGTATATTTATTTTGTTGATTTCAAGTTATATTTATAGTTATTTATATTTGTATTTAGTTGATAGAAAGTGCAGAAAGAACTTTTAAGGTTTGAACAGTATATTTAGCAAGCTTAAAGTGGTACATTTCGCTTAAATCTAAATGGATTTTTATTTTGTTAAATTTTTACTCTGTCTCATTTTATACAATTCTATCCTTGTGGTGTGATTAACTGTTGGTTGTATCATTATTTGACTGGTGGGGTTGCTGCACATTGCTACCTGCCAGCTGGATTGCAATGTGTATATATGGAAAGAAGAAACACTACATGTCTCGTGCAGCAGTAGAAAATTTCAGGCTCCCAGGGAGTAAATAATTTGCTTTAAATAATAATAATTTTATTTAAATAATTATTTAGAGTGGTTTTTTTACTCCCACGGAGCCTGAAAGTTTTTACTGTTGCTTTTTTAAAACAAGAAAGGAAAAAATATTAGAAATAAAGATTAAAAAGGGTTAAAAAAAGTTACAGAGAAAAAAATAAATAGGAAAAGAATGAGAGTGAAACACGAGAAGGGTTAGAATGAAAAAGAAAGAGTGAGAGTGAAAAAGAGGGGAAAAAAAGAGTTAATGCTGGAGAGAAAAAGAAATAAAAAGTAAAGTATAAATTAAAGTACAAACTAGAGAGAGAAAAATAAATAGTTAGAAATAGAGAAACAGAAAAAAAGAAATATAGGGAAATAGAGAAGCAGAGAGACAGAGTTAGAAACAGTGAGAAATAGAAACCCACAGGGACGGACAGAAATGAAGTCAGAGATAGAAAAGTAAGATGAGAAGCAAAGGAAAAAATACAGTGAAAGAAAAATGACTAAAGCACACCAAAGAAAGACAGGAGCCAAAAGTGGAGGGGGAGGGAGCAGGGGCATCGTTATTAGGGTTGATTCAACTTTATTGAATGGATTTCTAAATTTACTTCAGCAAAACACATGGAAACAATGGATACAACTACAAGTACAGACACAATCCAGAGACACACTGGTAAAAGTCCAACTTAGATACTATTTCTACTTAGAAATTGTTTTTGCTGGCTTTAATGCCCTGGCTGCAGTGTTCTTCAGACGTTGTGCCCACTCCAGCAGTTCCAGCTCCTGTGCTGGGCAGGGAACACTTCTGGGGAAGGACTTCCAGTCTCATTAGTTTCCATTAAATCAATCAAGCCATATCTAAGTACTGGTGGCCAACGGTTTTACCACTTCCCCCTGAATCATCCAGCACTGGCTGGAGCTCTGTGGGAGCTGGTGGACTCTTCCACCCATCATTATTTCCCAAACAGAACTCAGCTAAGTAGGAGAGGTACAGATGATGCCTGCAGTTTTGTGCCATGGAGAAACAGCCTGTTACTGGAGAGTCCCAGACCTTTGTGTCCTGAGCCTCTGCAGGTCTGGCACATGGAAAGCCCAGAGGCACTGAAGTATCCCACTCAAGCCACCAAATGTTAACAATCTCTCCAAAGCCTAATTTGCCTTTGATATAGACTTAATTGTTTGCGACACCTACCGGGCTGGGGGAGGGCTATAAAATGGCCTAAAACCACTGTCAGAGGCAGAAGGGAGCCCAGAACAGCTCCCTCTCCCAGTGCTCCTCACTCAGCACAAGTGACAAGCTGAGCACCATGCAGCTGGTGGCCAGCCTGGCGTCCGTGCTGCTGCTGCTGTGGAGCGTGAGAGCCACAGCGCTGCCCGGGCAGGAGGGACTGCAGAGCACCAGGGTGAGTACAACACGCTGGGGAGGAGCAGGTTAGAGCCAAGGAAAGGGGTGTAAGGGCAATAGGCTGTACCTGGTACAACCCTTCCCCTCCCCTATATTCCAATTCTATATATACAATTTGACGTGCTGTGAAGCCCCAGGTTGTTACTACAGCTTGCTGGCCAGTTGATTTAGGAAAGGTATGGGGACAGATGCCAGAGAGCTGGAATAAGTCTGAGCTAAGTGAAAACTGGCAAAAAGGAGATTGGAGGGAAAGGGAGAAAACATTATTGAAAGGCTAGAGTGTGAGAGAATAAAGCAAAGTACTAGGGAGGGTGAGAAAAGATACATAATTGGTAAAATGATCACAGAGATGATATTTTAAATAGGACTTTTCAGAAGGACAAATGGTTAAAAGATCGGTTCAGTAGGAAAATAACAGAGGAACCATAAATGAAGTAATTACATCAAAATAAAATTGCGTTTTCTGGAGTAGGATTCATAAGAGGATTTATACTGACATAGTTCTGCTAGGATAACTATGCTCTGAACCAGCGTAGCTCAATGCAGTGGCAGAACTTATGGCAAATTAATTATCGTACCAACTGACAAAACCCTGATATTATAATGGCCAGAGCACTGTAATAACTTTGCTTTCAGTGCTATTTCCCTGGTTTGCTGCCCTTGCCCTGCCATCACTGCTGTGCCTCTGATCTCTGGAAGTCACCACGTGTGGCTGTATCCATAAGGCTGCTGCTATTCCAGAGAAGTGAGGGATCCCTGGGGTGGTTTCACAGGCACTAACTTCTTCTTTCTGCATATCCACATTGTTTTTTCGGTCTTGGTGTTGGCTCCAGCTCATCCATCAGTGTGTTACACTTCAGGAGCAGGCTCACATCCCATTAACCAAACTGGCTGCAAGACAGAACCATACACAGTAAGAGGTGCTGGCATTCTGTTAGAGATCAGGGCTCCTGCAGCTGCCTGGGATTAACCCTTCTGGGCATAACTGGAAACTTTCAGCTCTACATCCTTACAATAAGGAATCCAGTACTTCAAAAGTAAACTAACTCATTTTTCTTTAAAAATAAGTTCCTTGTGCAAATCCTAGCTGCTGGGGAAAAAAGAAACAAGTTATAGGGGATACACTGATAAATAAGTATTTGATAAAAATGAATTCAAGTGTAATGGCTCTTAGTCTTTTACACACTGTTGCTTACAAAATATTGATATAATTAAAAAGAGTCATTATATCTATTATAGAGCATTCTGCAAACTGAAAACCTCAAGGATGCTGATGAACCAATCCCTACAGTCACCACTGGTGCAATGGACAAATGTTTAAGTATGAAAAATGTCAGGATTTTACAAACCACCTCAAGCTCCAGAC